AGAAAAATAAATGAACAAATTCTGTAAAATTAATTTACAAGTAAAACAATAAAAAATAATAGATAAAAAAATTTTTTGTTCAAAGCCTATTTTCAAAATATTACTTACAGCAGCTCCAGCTGACATACAGACATCGAAAAGAAAACCAAAAAAATACCAACTTCATCAAATTTACTTCAATTATACTCAATTTACTTTAAATGTAAAAAAACCAAATTAAAAGTATTTTCTCCTTTTTTAGCAAATTAATTAACGAAAAAAAAAAAAGCATTAAAAAATTCACGCTATAAAAATCAACAGCAAGTATGCAACAGAAAAAATAGAAATGGAAATGTTGCTATAAACAGACAGACAACCCCTCTAACCCCTTCCGACTCCTACTTCTTAGTTGCCGAATCATGGCACTTCCCAACAACAAAGGCGTCTTCAACAAACATCAACATCATAATCATAGTTGCCTTCGTCGACGTCATCGTCATCATCGCCATCAATGACGACGAGTACCGCCGCCGCAGCAGCAGCAGCAACAGCAGAAACAGCAGCAGTATCAAAATTGTCATCGGCAGCAATAGCTGCAGCAGCAGTGCCAGCAAGAAGAATGCATCGAATAAACAAAAGAAAAAATTGATTAAAACGGCACAGGAATGAATCCGTTGAAGAATCGATGAAGACTCACGTACATACAGAAGCGAAAAACACGTACCCACACGTCATCGACAACATCAACAAAAACAAGAGCATCCTTTAAATCATATACAGCAATAGGTTGAAAAAAACACTACAGAATGCTGAAAAAAGAAAGACGAGTAAAAAGACGTTCTCTTTTTGATACTTTTATGCATTAAAAGTGAAAATTTATGAAAGAAGTAATAATTGAAATAAATGGTGACAGAAATTTATTGTTCAGAAGCCAAACAAAGAAGCTGAATTCATGCAGATTAAGCAATGTTATTAGTAGTTTTTTTGCTGCTGTTTTCTGCTTACTTGCTCGCTTTCTTGCTTTTTCAATCGCCTACTAGCTTACCATTTAGTTTGTTTGCTTGCTTTCCCCGTTCCTTACTCCGGTTTTTACAATTCTTTAATATGCTATTAAATCAATATCAATAGACCTGAAAATAGTTGAAAAACCTTAACTTTCTTTTATACATTTTTCCTTCCAAAAAACAAAGAAGAGGAAAACAAAAATAAAACCTTTCCTAGTAAAAACAACAACAGAAAAAAAGTTGATAAAAGAACGAGGATAAAACAATTGATCAAATAAGATTAAAAAAAATTAAAACAACACAAACCAAATGTAAATTAGCAGAAAATAAAAATTTAATCGGTTTTAACGTGAGTTTTTTTTCTTTTTATTTTCTGAAACAAATGGACAAATAGAAATAATTGGTGAACCGGCATCAAAACGGAACTATAAACTTTACAGATCAAAAGTTCAATTTATTTGCTCTATTGCTTTCTTTTTTCTTTTTTATTCCCTATTTGGAAGTAAACTATTGAAAAAATTTTTTATCAACAGTAAAATAAAAAAATCTAAAAATAGCTTTTTTTTTTCTCGCTAGACGATTAACACTCCATTCAAGACAACTGTTGATGCCGAAATACGATAATCTTCCCTTTTTTCTTTCCTTTAGAATTTCCCAAATATATGTCGCTTTACCACATGCCGAAAAAAAAAGAAAACTGTATATGCAAGCTGTTAACGTAAAAAAAA